GGGACACAAGAACCCACATAGAACCAAGCATTTTCATTTACTGCTGGTGATGTGCAGAAACTGATAGGACTCCCAGGAGAATATAATCTGACTGAAAGATACTAAACAATTTGGCATGCAAGATGCATACTGTCTAGAAGAAACTGTTTTTCAATTCACTAGTTGTAATGTGCCATCTACACAGCATGTTTGATACAATTAATAGTACTTATAAAAAATGGAAGAATAGAAGGCATAATAAGTTGGAATTTTTTTAAACACTAGCATTCAGGGAAATGCAGTGATTGACGTTGTATCGAGTGTGAAAATAATCTCACAATTATTGATCGTTACAGTTCAGATCTTCAATCTGTCATAAAATGACATTGTTGGTCTCATTACAGCCTCTAGTGGACAGTAGTAATCCACCTCACAGACCTGTCATACCATTTGCTCAAATGGCAAGCATTATCAAGGCAGAGGTTACTCTGAGAGAACATGAACATACAGGTCATTCTTATCCACCAGAATAAAGGATTTTTGAATACAATCAAAGGTTTGCTGTCACTGCTCGTAAGGTGCCTCGCTTTACTCTTCAGGTATAGCATTGGCTTGTAAATAAACACAGAACTTCTGCTATTAATTTCAGCTTTTGACAGCTTTCATAAAACTAAATTAATCTCAAATAGTTTTATAACAGAAAATATTGGTTGCCACGTTTTTGGCTTAAGTAAGATGTTTTTATTCCAACTCACAATCCGCTGACTGTCCAATTCACCTCCTATCTATTTACAGCTCTCTCACATTAGATAATTTTTGCTAATGCTGTTATTTTTGTTATTATTTCAGACATATGCAGCTGATTTAAGGTATTTTTACAGTTTTAATAAATGAGAAACTATAATTTGGATTACAGCTGGCTAATTAAGGTATGCTTTCCTCAGGAAAGTTAAAAATGTACACAATCTGAACAATAATGTGTTTGGACTATATCTTTAAGTGTCACTTGTGTGAACATAACAAAATATGACTAATGTCTCTAATTTTTGTGTATTCGCTTAGAAATGAATGTATTCCCTGTCAAAACATCCCTGTTGATGATGTTCTCCAGAACTCTGTGATTACCTTCAGATGCAAGGAAATTAGATTGGTAGACACAGAGAGCCAGTGCTGTCTCTTTAAAGCCACAAGTATCTTATGCAAATTAACATTTAGTGAAAGGAGAGTAAAGCAGTCCTGAAAACTAAGCAAGTATGTAGTACTACATCGTGACTCAAAAGAGAAAAATCTTATAGTCTAAAATGGTGGTCCTTTGCAAGTGAATTCAAAGGAAAGGCTGCAATTAACTTTTTTTGTTTTATTACACTGTGGCTAGGTAAGGATTGTAGGGTGATGAAGAAATCATTATTTGTCATGCCTTACAGTTTAGGTAATGGGATATTTAGGTTAAAAAATGTTTACCTTATCATTATCTTGATTTTTTAAAAGAAGCAATCAAGTTGTCTTTAAATAACAATAGCTTCAATGGCTTTAAATAAACAATAGATCCTTAGATGAAGATCTGAAATGAGATACTGTATTTTTGTTGTTGCTTATTTAAAACTGGGCAAAGCAATTCATGTGGGAATTAAGAAAACTTAGGACTCTTCTAAAGTCTCAAAATTGACCCCGATTTAGTCTTTTGAATAGGAGGTCAGTCAGTTACAGGTCCCTGCTCTGAAGGGAAGACCTGTTAACCTACCAGTGACCACATCAGGATGAACCATAGCCATAGTTAGCCCTATAAGCTGTGGCAAGCAGTGGAAAATAAAAGTGCTCAGCCCTTCTCTAGGGGTTCTTCACTGGTCTAGGCACTTATCAGGTAATAAATACTGTGTTTTATGGCCGGTGCTCTTCAGCCATCTGAGGTCTCAATCTGTGTCCTGGCCTCTATGTATCTCCCCTGACACTGCAGCTACCCAGATGGCTAGTGTGAGCAGAAGGGCCAAGCACAAATGGAAACTAAACTCTCTTATTCCTGGAAGTGATCATTTCATCTTGGGGTCAAAGTACACCAGCAGAACACAGAGGGGAAGCAAAACTCTTCAGAAATGCTTTGTTTCCAGGGATGTCAAGGCAGTACTGTTAACAAGGATTAACATTCAAGCAACATTCAGGAGAATTTGCCAGCCACTGTCTGGGAGAGGGCTCTCAGATGCTGGCAGGGAGCAGCCAGAGACCACATGCCCTTGTAAGAGACACATGTTGTCCCATCCCTTTAAATCATACCTGGTACAGAGACTTATCTGGGAGTTCACTTCCCAGGATTTTTTCTGTCTCTTAAGGGCGTTATGGTCTAGACAGATTAGATTAGCAACTACTCTGTAAACACCTAGAGCTGGGAAATATCTCTGGACCTTTCTTAAAATGTCTTACCCACATATAAGGCACTGTGGTTTCCAAAACCTGTTAGTCTCTCTGATCAATGCTATACAGGTTTTGATAAGTGCCATGAGTTTTTATGAGAGGAAGGGAATGGGCTAGAATGGACTGGTTACCTTTTTGAACAGACACAGAAATTGAAAAAAAGGATTTTTGACTCCTAAATCCATTAATGGCCCCAGCTGAGCTGTTCTGGTCTACTGAACAAATCCTTCCTACCTCATGGATAATCGACCTACCAGACTTCCAGATCCACCGTGCTCAATGCTGCTGCCAAGTCTCCTCTTTTGGTTCACATGCTAAAAATCTTTATGTTTTGTTGAGAAAATGCACAACTTATAATGACAGCTATTTTCTACTCTTACTGTCTCTGCCTCTTCACAAAATATGATACAGCCAGGCCTTGCCCCCAAAGCTGTCATGCAAATTCAGAAGTCTGGTTTACCAAACTCATCCAATATAGGTAAGTTTGGGCTCATGCCTTGGTTTCAAGACAGCGAGAAGTGCAAGCTGTGTAATGTTCAAGACCAAAGTTATTTTGTATCTATATCTTCTTCTTCAAAAAAAAAACTAGTAACTAAGACAGCATTAACCGGAAAGACAGTAATGGTTCTCAAATACAGGCATCATCTACATAGGAAAGAGCTGTATTTCTTTATTTTCAAAAGGTATCATATAGCAGAAAACTGCAATCACCTGATGCACAGGAATGAAGATTTGAATAGTTCCTAAACATCAAACCAAAATTGAAATGGGATAATTTTGGTATGAAATAATTGCTATATCCCCTCATATTTGACTCATAATTGGAAAATCACCAGACAGAGATGAACAACAGTCATGACAGTGTATTGCCTGGAGGGTAGGAATTCCTCTGCCTTGCAAGGCTTTGACCAACCTAAGTGAGCATGGTAAACATTTGCCTTCCATTTATCCAATTACAAGCTGACAGGGTATTTTTCATGTTTCTTCTGCAAGGTGACAGGTACATGCCCCCAGAACCCTAAAACTCCGGAGTTTAAAAAAAAAAAACAGTGTCCTGGGAAAAGTGTCAGGAGGCCCGAGGTGGGATATGACATTAAAGTAAGCTATTTCAGCTTGTGCAGACCCTTTTATAACTAGACTGGCATCACTTTGTATTCTTACCGCACAAAGGCAGCATCTTTCCCTCAGAGATCTGCCTGATCCTCATGTTCTCTCTTTAACTCTTCAGCAGAGGCCTTTCTACTAATGACAAAAAGGGTTCTCAGATTGACTGAGATGTCATATCATGTGTCTCTCTTTCCTCCTACCCAGTTTTTCCTCAGAAGAACTCCCATTTATGCCTGTCGTACTCTGCTTAACCCATCCTTGGTCTGCTATCATATCATCCTCATATGATATTATCAATTTATTTATATTTAAGGTAATGAAAGATACCCATTCAAGGCTCTAGAAGCCCTGAGACATAGCAATTACAAGCAAAGCACAATAGTGTGAAAGAAGCTTTATCAAAAGGAACTTACCTGGGCAACCAGGTAGACCAGAAACACCTGCCTGCTGAAAGCTTATCTCCAGTCTTCTTCTAATGTGGGTGGGGTTTTGCCTCAGGGCCTCTTCAAAGACCATAAAATTCAAACTCTTGTGAAGTGTAGGTTCTATCACATGGACAGGTTTGCTCATTCATTGACTGTTTTGTCATGGGGTCAAATATAACCAAGAGAATGGAGTGGACACCTTGGAGGCAGGACCATCTCACGACCAGCTTTCCTACTCAAGAGACCCTAGTGCTGGAACGTTTCCCACTACAGAGTTTTCACAGCTTATACTGTCACAGAATCACAGAATCATTAAATAGAATCACAGAATCATTAAATAGAATGGAAAAGACTTTTAAGATCATCAAGTCCAAATCATCAGCCCAGCACCACCCCCATGTTCACCATGAAACCATGTCCTCAATGCCTTAGCCATACATTTTTTGAACACTTTCCAGGAATAGTGACTGTACCACTTCCCTTGGAAGTGTGTTCCAATTCTTTACAACCCTTTCTGTAAAAAAAAATCTTTCCTAATATCCAATTCCAACCTCCCCTGGTGCAACTTGAGGCCATTTCCTCTTGTCTTGGGAATTCTCTCATCTTCTTTGTGCAAGAGGACACAAGAATGGCCACACAGTGGCCATAGGACACCAGTGATCATTAGCAGATGCTTAGGGAGACATGGGCATTATATACTACTTATCCACGTACTATCCAGCATCCCACTACTTCCAGCTTAAGGAACTTCCTGAGGAGAATGTGGTTTCTGCCCGTTTAGTTGACCCTCAGTGGATTTATCTCCGAAGATCTGTCTTCTCCATCACGATCTGTGAACTGTAGGTATGTGCTATGTCACATTGCACAGGTCAAGTCCTTGACGAAAGAAGAATCCCCTCACCCTGCCTGCTTCATTCAGTGCTCCTAGCTCTTGCACTAAGACAGGGAATGGCCAGTCCCTACCCATACTCTCAATGCTACAAAGATCTTTGCAGCCCTCTCTCATATTCCTCCATCTTCCAAGCTGGAAAGCTTGTTGCCAAAAGCAGTCAAAGTCTTCACTGTTTCTGCTGCAATTCTTACCTGGTTTTGAGTCCCTGTCTTGGTCTTAGTCCTGAGACATCTGCACTCTCTCTGTTCTTCTGCCTGTAGAAAAGTGATAGTAAAAATTGTCCTTTTATTCCACAGAACAGTGGTGACACAGAGAAGTACAAGTATTATTACTATAAAAGCAATACAGAATGCTCTCTTTCCCCAAGGCTTAGCCAAGGACTTGGAAAAGCAACAATTCCACATATCAAGGACAAGAGAAAACAGTAGTAATGTAAACAAAAATAAACCCATGGTTCTATCTACATTTTTTTCATACTTGTTTAGCAACACATGCTGACTAAAACCCTTACCATTTCATAAACTACCTTTGTCAACCAGTCCATTCCTGTGTAAAAAATCAGAACTGATGGGACATCTCCCACCAAACTCAGATTATTTCACACAATTATATGCATAATATGTCTGAAAAATATGCCATGCTAAAAAAGTGGGACTGCCAGATGGTTTTCCTGCCATTTAATGTCTCTCCCCTTTCCATAATATATCTCATTTCTTAGGACACAGGTATTAAGTAATTTCTCTCTCTCAATTGGCCCATCTTCAGCTAGGTGTGTAAACTTGTGTCTAATTTAAGGTGTACAAGTTGTCCCGTTGTCTTAATGGTTCTGAATCATACATTTAAAGTGAGCTTTGTGCTTGAGGGTATGGCCTCATGAGCATGTTTTAGTGAAGCATTCAAGGGTGTGGATTTACAGGACACCAGCTACCCTGCAATAACTGCACAGATGAACACCCTTTGCCTGCTGGTAAATGCAAAGCAAGTTAGCCCAGGAGAGAGTCTCAGCCAAGATCACCTCTGCTCTCAGTACAATTGCTTTTCCTGCTATTCCCTGAATGCTGCTGCTTTTGCAGTAAGCATGACAGTTGCATATGGAGGCACCACCACCTCCCTCCTCTCCATAGTGATCCATCTCCCCAAACAGCTCAAAACATACTTTTTCTTAATACACCCCAAAATCTCGCAAACTGAAGTAATATTTAAGGGACCTTGCCAGCCTTGCTGCGCTACAACTTCAGCCTTTTTTCTCTTTCATGTTTATATGATAGGATATATTATTTGCAGAGTCTTCATCACGTATTCTATATACATAAGTCCTCTAATTCTTGTGCCCTCCCGTTTCCCCCTGCTGGTTAAAAACGCATAGCTGGGAGGAGCAGAGGGGGTGGGAAAGGGAAAGCAATTCCTCAAACAACTCTGAGTCAAAGCAGGTACTCACTTTGGGAGGAGGCAGCAGAGGGGACAGACCTTGTGACTACTGAATACCAGTGGCTGCTGCCCCCAAGGGTACTTCTGAGAGCCTACATGTATTGTTACACAATGTATATACTTCACAGGGTCCTGAGCAGAGTTTATCAGCTGTACAGAAATTCCTGCATAGTTTATCATCTGGGCAAGCATCCCAGCACCACTGTTGTCTCTCGTTAGAGTCTCTTCAGAGTATCAGAGGTTCCCAGGAACATTCCCAGAAGCTTTCAGCTCAGCATGAATCACTGCCAAGTTGAAGAGTTTCTTCGAGTCCCTTGTAGCAATCATCCTGAAAATTGCAGAAGAGTAGCTTGCAGGATCTACAACTGTCCCTAAAAGGCTCAACTTGTACAAGAGTCATTGTCTGGCCTCCAAAAACATTTATCTGAACTAAGACACATTTATCTCAACCTTGCACACATTTAAGGTCTTGCCAATGAGATCACAAAATCTCCTTGTAGCTGGAAATAAATTTTTTTCCTTTGGTGATTTTCTAAAATCTTTTTTATTTTAGATTCTAATAATCCCTCAGATCCCTAAATGTGGATCAGCATCCCTTTCCTGTTCAAACTAGATGCTCTAGTCAGTTATATAAGGTCAAGTTTCCTCCCTAGGCAGTTTACAGCATAGGCACACAAGTTATGCTGTCTGCAGTAAATGATGCAGTGAAATACTCCATTGTGTGACTTATATCTCAGAACAGTTACCTCCTGAGAAAAGGCTGCAGTTTTGAGGCCAGCTGACTTTTCAGAAATGGCAAACAATTGATGGGACAAAAAGGTAGATTTCTCCAAAGGTAAAATAACAGTGTTTTCTTCTTTTAACCTATAAAAATTATAATTTTCTGAAAACAAAATGAAAGAAAAATTTCCAGCAACCACCAAGCCCCTTTTACTCTTGAAGAACCTGCTTCTCCCTATTTATTTTGCTTTCTGAGGATTTGCCTTTGACAGGTTCACATTTTTAATGCTTCTTACTAGCCAAAATGTTAAATGGATGACTTAAGTTCCAGTATATTGCTTCCCCTGAATCTGTTACTCTTGCAGTGGCACTTTCCCTTAGTAGCACATTGAACTAGTGTAGTTTATAGTCACCAGTTCCTAGATTCCCTCTAGTGCTCAAATCTTCAATGAACAGAAAGATAAGGCTGAAGAATTTGCCAGCTTGAAATGCTTGCTATCTGCACAACAGACCAAAAATTGGTTTTTAATTATTTCAAGACTTCAAACTCTGAATATTTGGCTGTATAATTAAAATCTAGATTTTAAAATATACTGAAAATACATTTACCCTTCAAATGTTTCACCTGTTAGTTATTCTACTTCAAACTCTTCAACTCCACAGTGTTACTATTTGGTTTTCTTTGATGTTTGTTCGTTTTAAGCTAACCCCAAAGAATTTCACTCTCGCCCACCATGGTTATCAAGCTGTGCTTTGTTAGCACTGTAAGTATTTATGATATACAACTCTTTTCTGTCCTTCCCGATATTTAGGAATTAATACCTTATATGCATTGATTAATAGCCATTTTTCTTCATATTTCTTTTAGGAGAGTTAAGAATGACCACTAGATAAGCACCTCCATCACTTGGTAACACTGCTCATGGTCTGGTGTATAACTCTTGTGTAAGAGTGGTTGGTATGTAAATACCCTCCTTAATCGTCATCGTTTGTTTCAAGGATAAAACAAACAAAACAATAACAAAACCTCCTTTCTTTTGCGTGCTGGAAGCACATGCCATTAATATTAATTAATTTATTTATTTAAACTTGGTTAAAGCATTTGCTCTTAGGCTGGGAATGTGACTGCCAAGTTTCCTGCCTGCAATCTTTTACGGCTCAGTAGTAAACTCCTGAAAATAGGAATTTGAAATGGAAATAGTGACAGGCCTTTTAACTACACTATAATAAGCAGGGTGTTTTATCCTGCATACTGTATGTCGTTACACAATGGCAGCCTATCATAATGTGCACGGAAAACAAACAGGGTCTCTTTAGATCACTCTTCTGGCTAAAACTGGGCAGACAGAGGAAGCAAAACAGGCTGGAAAGACAAAAGACTAGAAGGTCAAGAACACCACACCCAGACCTAAGCCCTTCTGTTACACAGTGGAGCACAAGGATCTTAAAGAACTTGCACTTGAATAAATTGACTTTGATCAGCTTGCCATAAAAAAAGAGGTGTAGCCTGCTATATTGCTAAAGGAGGTAAAGAAGGAAACTTGCCCATGGTCTTAAGCTACAAAGTAATGTACCCAGACCCACCCTGTTACACAAAGATCCAAAAAGTATGCTTCTTGCAAATGTTTCTTATTTGCTTGTAATAGTATGTTTCATGTAATTCTGCATATATAAAACACAAGAACATTAAAGCTGGTTTGCACAGTAGCTTTCCAGCGACAACTGCAAAGTGCAATTTTTCAGAGCTGCTCAACATCCAGAATCCTAAAAAGTTGCCTGAGTTTCTTCAGATCCACACCTGTGTAAATGACAGCAGTACTGCATCTTTGTGAAAACAGAACAGTGCTACTGCTTTTTATGAGGTATTTAGCAACTAGGAAAATAACTGAATCACATGTGCAGAACAGGACAGCAGAGTACCTGGGACTTGAACAGAGAACTTCTGCTCTGCAGAACACATGCTTAAACGCTGTATATTGAAGTGCCACATCACGTCTATTTTTACTAATTGAGTTTACTTGTGTTTGGGCACTGTACCAGCTACTCAGCAAGTCCAGGAGATTAATGTAAAAGCCTCTCTGCATTTAGAAAGTATAGTCACTCTAGATTTACAGCTGCTTACTTTGAGGGTGGCTGACTGCTGATCCTGGTGTCTTTGAGCAACAGATGGTTTTCTGAGCTGCATTGATAATGAAAATGATACAATTTACCTCCTAACATTGAAATAAAGAGGCAGAAAAAAAGAAAAAGCAATGTATTAATCTTCTACAAATAGCATACCTTAGTACACAGCGGGATAAGAGGAGGGGGAGGCCCAGTCAAAACTCAAGGAATAGTATTAGAAATTCACATGAGGACAAACTTACATAAAATAACCCATCCTGATCTGGACTGTGAAAGTATTGGCCCTTGTAATGTTAGAATTTATAGCTTTAATCTTCTTAAGAGCTGCATGGCTCTTCTCACATGCAGGGAAAACAGATTTGATGTTTGTGAGATTAAAACTACTGAGCTGAACTTTGCTTGTTATTGGCCAGAAGCACTTGGAAACCTAATAAAGCATTCCATTAAAATCTTGGCATTTTAGTAACACAAAAGAAGTAGGTTTCTCAAAATATGAGAAGGCAAAAGGACACTTTGGGGGGTGGGGGGAAAGATTGTGGAATTTGGATTTTAACAAAGTTTGCAATGACTTTAAAATAGATCAAAGAAAACATGAGGTAGAGTGGAACAATAAGTGCTTGATGTAACTAGCAATGTCCAATTCCTTGTTGTTTAAACTTTATTACATTTGAAGACATTTTTTCATGTTCTTTTAAACCTCATACTTTCGTAAGTCTATGAGTAGCTGGAAAAAGTACAACACGTCACTGACTGGCTGTGTGGTCTCTAAACAGGTAGTGTGAGGCCTGATTTCATAAACTTTGAGGATCCACAACCACAGCTGAGATCCAGCTGGGCTACTCATATCCTTGACTTTAGATGATCAGCTTTATTCTGAAATAAAGAGCTCCATTAAAGCTGGCTAGGCTACAATTTTAGGTGCACAGGAAGCCCACAGTGAACACATATGCATTTGTAATCAGTATACAGTTTGGTTTGATCT